ATCTTACTGCAGATGAACATTTGGCTTGTTCTCAGTGTTTGGCTATTATAAGGGGTATTACACGGACACTCCTGTCCATGTCTTCTGGAGCATGTGTGCTTGTACCTCTGTTGGAAAATATCTACAGCAGAATTGTTGAGTTACATGTAAGGATATGTTCAGCTTTATAAGATACTGAGATTGTTTTCCAAAGTGGCTTTACCAATTTACATTTCTACCGATAGGACATGAAAAGCCCAATTGCTTCACATCTCTGTCAACATTTGTTATTTTCAGTCTTTTCCATTTCAGCCCTTCTGGTTGGTGTGCAGTGGCATTTTATTATGATTTAAATTTTTATTTCCATAATGACTAATGAGATGGGGTAGCTTTTCATATATTTATAAGCCTTTTGGATATCTTTGTGAACTAAGTGCCTGTTCACATCTTTTGTCGATATTTTATTTTTTTCTTTTTGAGACAGAGTCTATGTTGCCTAGGCTGGTTTCCAACTCTTGGGCTCGAGCAATTCTTCCACCTCAACCTCCCGCGTAGCTCGGACTATAGGTACATGCCACTGCACCTGGTTTCTTTTACCAATCTTTTAATTGTGCTACCTTTTTCCCCCTTATTGTTTGATAAGAGTTCTTTATACACTCTGGGTATAATACATATACAATATTGAAGATAATAGAAATATTTCTTGCCTTTTCATTCTCTTCATTGTGTCTTCCAATGAATAGAATGACTACTTTTATTACATTTCTTAATATTTTCCTTTATGACTGGTGTTTTTTGTATCTTGTTTAAGAAATCTTTGCTTATCTCAAGAAGCTAATCACCTAATCTCCTATGTTATCCTCTATAAATTTTATTGTTTTACTGTTCATACTTAAGAGTTTAAATCTCCTGGACTTGAACTTTTGTGTGTGGTGTGAGGTAATGATCAACACCCTTTCCTTTCAGAAAAGGGATCACTGAGAGGAAAAAAAAAATTTCCTTCCCCCATAAGGCTATTGAGCTGACTTAGCAGTCCTTTCCTCACCATTCTGTCGTGCTACCTTGTCACAAATCAAGTGTCTATATCACATGGCTTGAGAGGAAAGGAATAAATACATAAATACATACATACATAAAATAAGTATCTCTATATATGTGGGTCTGTTTCCAGATATTTAATCCTGTTCCATTTATTCATCCTATGTCAATACTGTACTGCCTTACTCACTGTAGCTTTATGATAAATCTTGATATGCAGTAGTGTAACTCCTCCAAATTTATTTTCCTTACCCAAAAATACCTTAGTTATATAACCCTTTGCTTTATTTACTTTAATTCTCATGAAAACCCTGTGGTATGAGACCATTTCACAGGTTGGCAAACTCAGAGAAGTAATCTGGCCACACAGCAACCAAGTGCTAGGGAGGGATCAGAATCTAGATTTCTCAGCTGGGCGCGGTAGCTCACGCCTGTAATCCCAGCACTTTGGGAGGCTGAGTCGGGCGGATCACGACGTCAGGAGATCGAGACCATCCTGGCTAACACGGTGAAATCCCGTCTCTACTAAAAATACAAAAAATTAGCCGGGCGTGTGGTGGGTGCCTGTAATCCCAGTTGCTCGGGAGGCTGAGGCGGGAGATGGCATGAACTCAGGAGGCGGAGTTTGCAGTGAGCTGAGATTGCACCACGGCACTCCAGCCTGGGCAATAGAGCGAGACTCTGTCCCAAAAAAAAAAAAAAAAAAAAAATCCACATTTGTCTGCTTCTAGGCCTAAGAACTCCAGTACTGCACGTACTACCTCCCTAATCCTAACGCGAAATCACCCCATCAGGGTATTTAATATGAATGTATTACAATTTTAAGAAATTCTCACGTTCTGAATCATTCATCTGCAGTGAAAAAATCTTGTTCAGGCTGTGTGTGGTGGCTCAAGCCTGTAATCCTAGCACTTTGGGAGGCTGAGATGAAAGGATCTCTTGAGGCCAGGAGTTCCACACCAACCTCAACATAGTGAGACTCCGTCTCTACAAAAAAAGTGAAAAAACAGGCAGGCATGTTGGTGTGCACCTGTATTCCCAGCTACTTTGGAGGCTCAGGCAGGAAGACTGCTTCAGCTCTCGAGTTCCAGGCTTCAGTGAACTATATGATTGTACTACTGCACTCCAGGGTGGGTAACAGAATGAGACTATGTCTCTAAAAAAAAAAAAAAAAATTGTTTGACAATTACAAAGGCCAGTTTCCTGGTGGAACTCAGGAAAACAGTGGAACAAGAGGGAAAAACTTCTAGGATTCCTTCCCATGTCTACAGAGGATCAGTCCCGCTCCTCACCTGGGCTCCCCGGGCATGGCCCCTCCACCTCTCCAGCTTTAGCTTCTGCTGCCATTCTTCTTCCCCTTGACCCTTAGGCCAAGAATGCTTACATTCTCCCACTAGTCCAAGTCTTTCACATAGCTGCACCTTTGCTCACAACATCCTCTCCCCTTCCTGGCTATTTCCTTCTTTTTCTTTAAAACCTAGGTATTACTTCTCTGGGAGGCCCTCCCTGTCCTCTGTGTCTCCCATCCTAACATATCACACTGTCAGTTCAGCTGTCTAGACTGCCGGATGCTGGGCCAGCATTATCATTGGATTCTGCAACTTGAATGGTGGCTAACTGAGCTATAAAGTCCTGACAGAAATCAGAGAGAGACTTTTTTTTTGCTATATTCCATAATTTAAAATGGACTCTGGCCAAGTGTGCTGGCTCATGCCTGTAATCCTAGCACTTTGAGAGGCTGAGGCTGGAGGATCACTTGAGCCCAGGAGTTCGAGGCCCTGGCAACACAGTGAGACCCCCATCACTACAAAAAAAGAAAAGAAAAGAAAAGAAAAGAAAAGAAAAGAAAAGAAAAGAAAAGAAAGAAGGAAGGAAGGAAGAAAGGAAGAAAGAAAGAAAAGAAAGAAAAGAAAGAAAGAAAGAAAAAAAGATAGCTGGCTATGTTGGTGCACACCTGCAGTCCCAGCTACTCTGGAGGCTGAGGTGGAAGGATCACTTGAGACTGGGAGGTTGAGGCTGCAGTGAGCCATGGTTGCCCCATTGCACTCCAGCCTGAACAGAGTGAAACCCTGTCACAAAACAAAACAAAACAAAACAGGCCTCTAAGAGAAGGCCTGAGAGAAAAGACTTCTAATAGGTTCAGGACACATTCTTTGGTAGAAGTGGCAAATAAGAAAGCTTAGGGAAAAGACGAAATTATTTTCTGTGATGGACTTGCGCTTTCAGTTGAGATAGGAATGGGATGGAGTGCCAGAAAGGCAGATATTTGACCAGGCGTAGTGACTCACGCCTGTAATCCCAGCACTTTGGGAGGCCGAGGCGGGTGGATCACCAGATTAGGAGATCAAGACCATCCTGGCTAACACGGTGAAGCCCCACCTCTACTAAAAATACAAAAAATTAGCTGGGTGTGGTGGCAGGTACCTGTAGTCCCAGCTACTTGGGAGGCTGAGGCAGGAGAATTGGCGTGAACCCAGAAGGAGGAGCTTGCAGTGAGCTGAGATTGTACCACTGCACTCCAGCCTGGACAACAGAGTAAGACTCCGTCTCAAAAAAAAGAAAGAAAGAAAGAAAAAGAAAGGCAGAGATTCAATGGTTGTATAGAGTATGGCAGGCTGTGGTTCATTTAAAGACTTCAGAAGAAGTGAAATATTCCTTTGAGGTACACAATTAAAACTAACAGCAAGGCAGCTTCTTCTGAGATGTATTCATTCCACAAGCTGAGAGTGGGGAGAAAAAATACCCACTCTTCAATGGGGTATTTTCAAGCAGATGAGATCTGATGCTCCTCTCTGGACAGGAGAGACCACCCCTAGGTGCTCCCCTGCCCTGTGACACTCAGACTACTTTGGTGCCAGCCTATGGCAGTGTGGCCCAAACACTGTGAAGTCTTTGAGAATCTCCAGTTTGAGTACAACCTCACTGACTTTTTTCATTAAGAACATAAGCTTGATTTTCATAAACATCTTTTCCAGGAGCACCAAGCTAGCCCTCTTTCAACACCAGTAAAATGGAGAAAAGGAAAATCTAAATCGTATCCAACCCAGGTTTTCCAGATTTTCTCAGTTAATTCCCATTTTTATGGTCACTCTGCTCACTGAAAGGCAGACAAAGGGCTTAAAAGCCTCTTTCAGAGAAGGCAATACCATTTTAGTCCTCCACATCCTTCATGGTTTTCTCTACTGGCTTAGCTGTGCTCAAAACAAGGACTTATTTTTCCTTCATTTAGATATTCAGAATCTAGGACATCATAAGGTTGCGGATGTTTTAGAAAACAGATAATCTTCTGGCATGAGAAATATCCTTAATTAGCTACTTTTCCTCAAAACTGGAGGGGGATGAGTATTGACATTTGGGTAGCTTATGCAATTCAAGAGCTTCTGTCTTCTGTCTTCAAGTATTGCCTTATGTTAGAAATAAGTTTCCAGAAAATAAATGTCAAAGACCAGACATTCATGCTAAAGGCTAGATGCTTCCAATCCAAACTTATGAACTCCTCCTACCTTTCCTAAAAGGGACTGTTACATGAGGTGCAAATAAGAATGATTAATTCATTTTCTGCCCAGATATAAGAATCAATTCATAACACTTTCCTGTTTGGCTGAGCTACTGGGAAGAATAAACAAAAGCAGGATGGAACTCCACAAAGTTCCACTGTGCTTTTGTGCCTTCTCTGCTGCACTGTTATATGGGAGTTCCAAGGCAGCAGGGTCACACGGGATGCTATACATCAGTGGTCTTCAATCTTTTTGGCACCAGGGACTGGTTTCGTGGAACACAATTTTTCCATGGACCAGGGCGGGGATGGGGAGATGGGGGATGGTTTCAGGGTGAAACTGTTCCACCTCAGATCTTCAGGCAGTACTTAAGATTCTCACAAGGAGCGTGCAACCTAGATCCCTCACATGCGCAGTTCACAACAGGGTTCACACTCCTGTGAGGATCTAATGCTGCCACTGATCTGACAGGAGGCGGAGCGCAGGCGGTAATGCTTGCTCACCTGCCGCTCACCTCCTGCTGCGTGGCCCTGTTCCTAACAGGCCACGGACAAGTACAGGTCTGCAGCCTGGGGATTAGGGACCCCTGCTATACATGACTGTATGGTGCAAAGCACTTCTGTGGCATGTGGTTTAAGCTCAGTGTCATTTGATGGCCAGAGACCCACTTGAAGATCCCCATTTTTAGCAGACCTTGTAGGATGCTAACATTTGGGGCCAGATTCTCCTTAGTGAAATGAATGCTATGTAGCTAAGGCTGCAGTGCCCAGCCTGGCTAGACATTTGCAAAAAGAGAGCAGAGACTGGCAGACAGTGCCAATTCTCAACAGAATCTTATGATCAAAATGCCAACTTGCTATAAGGGTATCAGTAACATCCTCACCCTTTAGCAGGCAAAGGAGGCTGGGGATGTGAGAAAACAAACTCTGATCCACCTGATCCTCTACCGCTTTTTGATTCCGAGAAAAAAAAAATTGTTCAGTAACTCCAGCTGCCTGAACAGAAATTACTTCCTGAGGAGCTAGAAGCCCTGACTGGAAAAGAGCTCTGGGGGATTATGGCATGGGAGGAGAGCTGTCAGGCATCAGACTTACACGGGAAGGACCCACGCTGACTACAACAGTACAAGTAACTACTTGAGGGGCTCCATAACATGGAAATGGCAGTCGTATGTTCCAAAGACAGAGTTACTGTTTTAAGGACAGAGGAATCTTTGTATAGATTCTCAGTGAAAAGCTTATTTTAAGGATGTTTGCTGAAATTCCATGTTTTTCACATTTGTTTTCAAAAGAGCAGTGTCCTTCATATATAGTATACGAAAAATTACAATATTCATGTTTTTTAGATACAAAGTCATACACAAATAGAGGAGGAATAATTTCAAATTGCAAACCATACCAGCATAGAAAGAGGGAAATGAGACTGTAGATATGGATTTATTAGGTGATAGGGATTCTTTTTTTCTCTATATTTTAATATATTTTCCAAGTTTGAGCCACGGGCCAAGGATGGGCCTGTTCTCTGTCCTGCCTAAAACCTGACAGAAGCATGGGTGACCAATCCCAGAACCACACTTGGCACTGCTGAGTTTTCATATCTTCTGACACCTCCTTGCAAAATGTCAAGTGTGAGATGCTAATACTAGCCCTCTCTTTGCTGGAGGAGAAAGCATGTAAAAAGACAACTGTCCAAACCCTGTGGCTACAAAGTCCTTTTCTGGCTTCCTAAGATATTTACTCTATTCTTCTATTTCTAGAACTTTTCTAAGTTGGAAGATTTCAAATGTGAGAGAGTGTTAGATCCAGGTTGAGTAAGGATTTTATAAAATACTAAATGATGATCAGAGATGGGAATAATCAGCCTAGTTAAAAGCATATTCAGCACAATGTTACAATATACCAGATCCTTGTATAAACAGCATGGATTACATTAACAGGCCTCCCTGGGTGAGTAGCGTCTCTTTTGCCTACCTTAACGCTCACACCATGGTTATATAACCTTTTGAACAGAATTTGGAAATTCCTCTGACCCTGCCCTGCTTACTGATAGAGTTGAGCCAGTGGCTGGCAGGGGCATAATCTAATAGGCGAAACTAGAAACACACAAATTCACAGTCCTCTTGTCTCAGCCCAGAGACTGTACAGGCAAGGAAAGAAAGACTCGCCCCATCTCCCTCCTCCCCTCCTCTGGCCTAAGTTGCTGCTGACTTCACCCAACAGGCACCTGACCCTCCCAGATGAGCTGGGAGGGGCTAAAGCCCGGTGCGGCCATGGTGGGCGTGGAGGTACAGGCAGCAAACAATATTTAAGATGCTGACTTGTGGAGCATTCGGGCTTGGGAAGGAAAGCTATAGGCTATCCATTCAGCTCCCCTGTCAGAGACTCAAGCTTTGAGAAAGGCCAGCAAAGAGCAAGGAAAAGAGAGAAAACAACAAAGTGGCAAGGCCCTCAGAGTGAAAGCGTAAGGTTCAGTCAGCCTCCTGCAGCTTTGCAGACCTCAGCTGGGCATCTCCAGGCTCCCCTGGAGGAAGAGCCTTCCTCACCCAAACCCACAAAAGATGCTGAAAAAGCCTCTCTCAGCTGTGACCTGGCTCTGCATTTTCACTGTGGCCTTTGTCAGCCACCCAGCATGGCTGCAGAAGCCCTCTAAGCGCAAGACACCAGCACAGCTCAAAGCGGCCACCTGCTGTGAGGAGGTGAAGGAGCTCAAGGCCCAAGTTGCCAACCTCAGCAGCCTGCTGAGTGAACTGAACAAGAAGCAGGAAAGGGACTGGGTCAGCGTGGTCATGCAGGTGATGGAGCTGGAGAGCAACAGCAAGCGCATGGAGTCGCGGCTCACAGATGCCGAGAGCAAGTACTCTGAGATGAACAACCAAATCGACATCATGCAGCTGCAGGCGGCACAGACGGTCACTCAGACCTCCGCAGGTAAGGAGATGAGTCCCCTGCGAGAGCGTGGAGTGCCTCACCACCTACAGCACTGCTTCTACATATCCTGGTCATCAGAACCACTACTGGGGCCTCTTTTGGGGGTGTACTTTCCCTTTAGTAAAGGCTTATGCAGTATTTCCTTTGATTGCTAATGCTATGTAAGGTTACCTCACACCTTCACAGGTCTCTTTTATCCACACAATGTTTCAGCCTACCATCTAAGAGTGCTGAGACATTACATGGTTTGCCCAAAGTCACCCAGCAAGTCTTAGAAGCAGGGTTCAAGTCTTCCTGATTGGTGCAGCTCTGCTACTTCCTCACCAATAGCTGACAGGCTATATCTCAAGAAATTCCAAGGAAGCACCAAACTGTAACAGCTGTTCCTCTGGAAGCAAAGTTTTGCCAGAAACAGTTCTCTGGTATTCCCAAGATTTACCTGGAATGAGCATTACTGGAATTTTGTGTCCTCTCTCTGTAAACATAACTCTTCTCATTGGCTCAGAGTTAAGTGTAGAGACACGTAGCCATGTGAAGAGTCCCTTTGTGTTCAGGAAGGATATGGCTCCTTAAGGTTCCTCAATTGTGACACGTCTACTCTTTTCCATGGTCTTAAATGAATTTCTCCTAATACAGGATTTTTTAAATGCAATGCTGAAATATAGATTTTTAATAGGCCAAAAATAAGATAAATTTAATCTTTCTTTTGCAAAACAACTTTTATTTCTGGTTAACTCAGCTCAGGTAGGTCATCATGAATTTATGGTTTAGAGATTAAAAATTTGGTTTTCTGAAATTATCAGGAAAGTATTAGTTATAAGGAGCATATCCGACAGACATGTCATTTCTTGCTGATATAAAAACCATTGCGACATGATCAGCTTCTACTGACTAAGTCAATGGTTGCCCTCAGCTCAAATTAAGAAAAAGTTTTAACATGAAACCGAGCTTGAAAATTGTTACCTGAACCCAACATGTACTAATCACTTTCTAAGCATGGACTTCCTGGCCCTCAGCTTGGGATTAGAAAGGTATTCTCAGGCCATTTTCCAGACAAGTGAGTCCTGATTTGGTCTGTGGGATGAAACCAGACATGTGGAACACCAGGCCAGACAGAGGAATCTGACTGTGCCACTTCCTGCTCATCCAAACAGGAGGCTTTCTCGCCATCCCACGAGGAGGTTCTTAGGGTCAAGTGCAGCTCTCCCACCAGGCCTCTTGCTCTTCTTGCCCAGGACATCATTCCTTATTTTTCTTCTCTATGACCAAGTGCTCGGTTACCTGTATATTCTATAAGGAGGTAGCCCCTTAGAGGAAGCAGTAATTTGGTGCTTTCACCACTAAGGGGAAATGAAGAACAGTGATGGGGAAGGCATACGTATTCTGCCTCCCTTTCCCAAGGTGCTTTGCAAGATAACCTAAGCGCCTTGGACAACTCCCATCTGCCATCTTGGTGCTCTTCTCTAAGGTCCCAGTGCAGTGGTTACCAAGAAAAGCACCCCGAGACAGAGCGGGCAGGAAGCTTCTCTTGGATATTAAGGGCTGCACTCTCTGAATCCTATCAGAAAATGCTGTCTCTTCCACAGTGCTCTTTGATATTTAGACTACAGAGCCTAAATCCTGCATAAAGTAGCAGCTCCATGGCCCTAGAGTAAAAAACCTGGCCTGTCTAATGCTCTCATTTCCTTGTTTTAACAAAACTTCCTGGGGGGAAGGTCTCAAAGGTTCTTCTGAGAGTTTTGAGGTTCTAGCTGGATGGAAGGGGAAAATATATAATAAACTCTATCTCCCTTAATTATGGTCTCAGGTGGCAGTAGCCACCTCTGAACAACAACATAACCAACCAACCAGGAAACAGCAACAAAACCAGACTCTATGAGATACTCACAACCGATGTGTTATAGAGACGGCTGTCTAAGAAGTCTGAATCTATCTGACAGGAGTATCTGTTACGTGGCCCTCATACACTGTAACATTTCTAGAATTCATGGCCTAGCTATAGCAGAATGATTTATTTCAGAGTTAACCTGAAACCACCTGTTGGAACGTCCCACTAATGCTATCCAAGTGAAGGGCTTCCCTAACCCTCTGCTCCACCACCAGTGAAGCCAAAATACACCCCCTCTGGATCTCCTGATATCCACCTCTCCCAAATGCAGACACTGATGGGTAATTAACACCAGTGGGAATCTCAGGGTAGAAATAAAGGCTCAGTTTCTAAACATTCAACTCAGATGGAGCCCCGGGTCTAAATGCTCACCCTGTGGTTTGTTCTCTTGTAGATGCCATCTACGACTGCTCTTCACTCTACCAGAAGAACTACCGCATCTCTGGAGTGTATAAGCTTCCTCCTGATGACTTCCTGGGCAGCCCTGAACTGGAGGTGAGGTCATTACAGTCATTGGCCACACCCTAATACCTGTCCTTCACCCCCTCAAGGGGACTGCAATAACAGGGCCATTCACAGTTTAAAGAAAGGAAAATTCGGCCAGGCAAAGTGGCTGACATTTGTTAATCCCAGCACTATGGGAGGCCAAGGCGGGTGGATCACTTCAGGTCAGGAGTTTAAGACCAGCCTGGCCAACATGGTGAAACCCTGTTTCTACTAAAAATACAAAAAAATTAGCCAGGCATGGTGGCGGACGCCTGTAATCCCAGCTACGCAGGGGGATCGCTTGAACTCAGGAGGCAGAGGTTGCAGTGAGCCAAGATCACGCCACTGCACTACAGTCTGGGAGACAGAGTGAGACTCTATTTCAATTAAAGAAAAAAAAAAAGAAAGAAAGAAACGAAAACTCAAAACACAAGCAAACACACCAAACACCAGAGAGCTATGCAAACAGTTAAGTTTATGCCCTGCACTCCAAACCCAAGCATCTGTTTGGCCCCTTGAAATCATTATCAAACACCAAGCCTTCTAACATAGATCAGATAATTCTTATAACCACCACATAACTTAGTTTAAATCTCTTGCTATGTCTTAGAACAGCTATTCCTTGAGGGAGGAGAAAAGAAAACACGAAGGCAGCATCAAAAGTATCTGGATTTTCAGCCAGGCATGGTGGCTCACACCTGTAATCCCAGCACTTTGGGAGGCGAGGTGGGTGGATCAATCACCTGAGGTCAGGAGTTTGAGACCAGCCTGGCCAACATGCTGAAATCCCGTTTCTACTAAAAATATAAAAATTAGTTGGGTGTGGTGACAGGAACCTCTGGTCCCAGCTACTAGGGAGGCTGAGGCAGGAGAATCACTGGAACCCAGGAGGTGGAGGTTGCAGTGAGCCGAGATTGCACCACTGCACTCTAGCCTGGGCAACAAGAGTGAAACTCTGCCTCAAAAAAAAAAAAAAAAAGTATCTGGATTTTTCCCTTCAAGCTTCATGTGCACTCACCCCTGGGCCCAATTTGGATCGTTCTTCCAGAGCAGTGTACCACCCGCCCCAGCTCACCAGCAGTGGGGCAGCATCACTGCCCGAGTGAGCCAGTGTGACTGCAGGAATGCACGCATCTACTGGCTCTGCAGGGACAGGAACAGGTTGGGAAGTCTGCCCTCTTGCTCTTGCCTCCTGTCCTGCAAGTCCCTCACCAGAGTATCCCCTCTGCTCCAGGTGTTCTGTGACATGGAGACTTCAGGTGGAGGCTGGACCATCATCCAGAGACGAAAAAGTGGCCTTGTCTCCTTCTACCAGGACTGGAAGCAGTACAAGCAGGGCTTTGGCAGCATCCGTGGGGACTTCTGGCTGGGGAATGAACACATCCACCGGCTCTCCAGACAGCCAACCCGGCTGCGTGTAGAGATGGAGGTAAGCACAAGGCCAGGGGCCCCATGACTGGACCAGTGCCACCACACCTGACTGCGTACGACTCTGAGGGTGCCATTCCTATTCTGATTCAAGACAAATCTGTATATTCATTGTGATGGTTTTCCTGCAAGTTATAATAGAGTTGAGGATAAATAGGTATTTTTCCTTTCTGCACCTCCCAACCCCCCACCCCCGCCAACAGAAGTGGGGCTGTAGGTGGGACAAGAAGAGGCCAGACCCAGGCCAGAGTAGAGCAAATCCAACAGTCAGCTGTGCCGAACACTAGTCTCTGCTCTGGCTGAGCATGAGGTCCTTTAGGTGCAAATCTTACTGATACTGGTTGGGGACCCTTGCTGAAGGTCTTAAAGCACTCACTATATCCTCACGTTTCTCTTACAGCAGCTCTGTGTGGGATTCAGCAAAAACATAGCTACACCTTATAGGCAGGAAAGTGAGGAATATAGAGAGACTAATCAAGGCCATATGGTGAATCAGGAAAGAAGTTCGAGCCTTCTTTTCTGATTCCCAGGTTAACGCAGTAAACTGGAGGTAAACAAGTAATAAAGTCTTATTAGATTCACATCTACAAAAAGATGTTTGGCTACGGGGCTGTCAGGAGAGAAGGGGTACAGAGACAGCATGAAATGGAGCCTGCTGCACTTTCTTTAAGGCTCTGCTCCTCCTGACAGGACTGGGAGGGCAACCTGCGCTACGCTGAGTATAGCCACTTTGTTCTGGGCAATGAACTCAACAGCTATCGCCTCTTCCTGGGGAACTACACTGGCAATGTGGGGAACGACGCCCTCCAGTACCATAACAACACAGCCTTCAGCACCAAGGACAAGGACAATGACAACTGCTTAGACAAGTGTGCACAGCTCCGCAAAGGTGAGACTTGGGGGACCGGAAACGAGTTCAGGTGCAAGCCCATAATCCCACTTGAGGAGAAAGAGTGAATTATAACTGTATAGTTGATGTTCCGGCTTTAGTATTCTTTCTAATGCTGGCTCTAACTCCTTATCTGATGTCTGGTCTATCACAGTCAACTTACTAGCACTGGGTCTGTTTCTCATGTCAGGTGGCTACTGGTACAACTGCTGCACAGACTCCAATCTCAATGGAGTGTACTACCGCCTGGGCGAGCACAACAAGCACTTGGATGGCATCACCTGGTACGGCTGGCATGGATCTACCTACTCCCTGAAACGGGTGGAGATGAAAATCCGCCCGGAAGACTTTAAGCCTTAAAAGGAGGCTGCCGTGGAGCACAGATGCAGACACTGAGACACCTGGAGATTAGATGAGGGCAGATGAGGACAGGAAGAGAGTATTAGAAAGGGTAGGGTTGAGAAACAGCCTATACTCTCCAAAGAAAGAATAAGTCTCCAAGGAGCACAATAAAATCATATGTACCAAGGATGTTACAGTAAACAGGATGAACCATTTAAACCCACTGGGTCCTGCCACAACCTTCTCAAGGGGGTAGACTCAGTGGGGTCTCTCTGCCCAAGATCCCTGACATAGCAGTAGCTTGTCTTTTCCATATGATTTGTCTGTGAAAGAAAATAATTTTGAGATCACTTTATCTATTTTCTTTAAGGCTTAGGCTACATGAGGGCAAAACACAAATCCCTTTGCTAAAAAGAACCATATTATTTTGATTCTCAAAGAAGAGGCCTTTGAGTGTTAGAGAAAGGAGTGAAGGAGGCAGGTGGGAGATGGGTATTTCTATTTTTAAATCCAGTGAAATTATCTTGAGTCTACATACTATTTTTAAAACACAAAAATTGTTCGGCTGTAGGTGAACTGACCCAGGCTGGACTTGCGAGGAGGAAACTCCAGGGCACTGGGTCTGGCAATCAGACTGAGCACTGCCCGTGCTCGCCTTGGTCAGGTACAGCACTGAAAGGTATGAAGCACCGGCAGGAGGTGGACACAGTCTCTCATGAATGCTGGCACAAAACTGCCTTAAAATATTCATAGTTAATACAGGTATACCTATTTTTATTTACTTTGTAAGAAACAAGCTCAAGGGGCTTCCTTTTAAATTTTGTCTATAGGAAATGGCTGAAAACTGAAGGTAGATGGTGTTATAGTTAATAACGAATGCTGTATATAAGCATCTTGCTTTGTAAAAATAAAATATTGTGGTTTTGTTTTAAACATTTAACGTTTCTTTTCCTTCTACAATAAACACTTTCAAAACTTCAGTATTTTCTTTTTAAATTCTTACCATTACCACTTAGAACAGGATAAAAAGTTAAATTTAAATCAGAGGGTGAGCAGTGACAGAGGCCTGGGGTTTGTTTTGGTGTTCAGGGCAACCAAGTGGGGAGCAGAAGCCAAAAGGGAACAGGTGAGGGACAAAAGGGCAGCAGCAACCAGGACAATTTTCCATAAAGGGGATTACACAACAGGGGCTGGGCAATGAAGGCATCCAGCCTTATCAGACCCTCTATTCTACTTAGGATAGAGAAACAAAAGCAGGCCAGCAGACCTTACCCTAATGCTCGAGGCTAACCAAGTAAAAGTCGTGTGTGTGTGTTTTCTAATAATCAAATAACCACTCAATACTCTGTCCCCAAGAAAGCAAATATATTTACTGATGTGTGAGCTTTAAGGAGATGGGAGTAGTTTATACTATCTCAGTGTTAGCCCTGGTTTGGGATTACATCTGGGATTTAATTTGCCCTGTAGCAGATAGGTAAAAAAGTCAATAGGTTGCAAGACAGATTGAACTAGTAACAAGAGAACAATACTGTCAACAGAACATGGTTTTTTAAAGCAAAGACAAAAAAAATAAGAAATAGCTGCACAAGGCCGGGCGCGGTGGCTCACACCTGTAATTTCAGCACTTTGGGAGGCCAAGGTGGATGGATCACGAGGTCAAGAGAGCGAGACCATCCTGGCCTACACGGTGAAACCCCCTTTCTACTAAAAATACAAAAATTAGCTGGGCATGCTGGCACACACCTGTAGTCTCAGCTACTTAGGAAGCTGAGGCAGGAGAAATGCTTGAATCCAGGAGGCGGAGGTTGCAGTGAGCCAAGATTGTGCCACTGCACTTCAGCCTGGCGACAGAGTGAGATTCCATCTTAAAAAAAAAAAATAAAAATAAAAATAAATAAATAGCTGCACAAAGATGTTTTTGTGTAAGGCTACCCTAATTGTTTCAAAAAGAATTTAGGGAAGTTGACTCAAACATGTATACTAAAACGAACTCTAAAAAAGCAGACAAATTGGTGAAGGGAAAATAAGAGTAGCAAAAATAAAAACAACATCTGTGGGGGTTGGGAGAGAGTTAGTAGTAGTAAAAACAGGTAAGATGTCTGTAATTTGTTGGAGGTAGACCAGGAATTTAGCTTCAAGCTCTCCAGTAGCCACTGTGAGGAAAGGAATTCAATCCCTTACTGCAAAGCGATGTCTCCAAGGCCAGATCAAAGTAGTGGCTCAGGGACATACAACCAACAGTGGGAAAAGACCCCTGAGAAGAATTTCCATGAGGCTCACCCACAGAACCAGGGTAGTGCTGTGAGCAACTTCCTTAACAGCAACTTTGTCTAAGGTTGTTTCTTAAAACCTCCTTCAGTACAGACGACAGTATACCCACAACCGGGCTTAGGAAAAGCAGCTTTACAAAATCAGAAGTAAAAACTGCAAACGGAAGCAAAAAAAGAAAGGTGATAGGAAGATACAGGAGACCAGCAGAAGGGAGGCAGAAATGCAAGCTGAGTTGACTTGGCTGAGGACACCCAAAGAGCCAAGCACACTGGCTTTCCCCAGAAACAGCATTCATTCATTCATTCATTCATTCATTCATTCATTCATTTATTGAGACAGAATCTCGCTCTGTCATCCAGGCTAGAGTACGGTGGCATGATCTTGGCTCACTGCAACCTCCACCTCCTGGGTTCAAGCAATTCTCCTGCCTCAGCCTCCCAAGTAGCTGGGATTATAGATGTGCACCACCACGCCCAGCTAATTTTTGTATTTTTAGTAGAGATGGGGTTTCACCATGTTAGCCAGGCTGGTCTCGAACTCCTGACATCAAGTGATCCACCCACCTTGGCCTCCCAAAGTGCTGGGATTACAGGTGTGAGCTACCCCACCTGGCCTGGAACAGTGTTTTAAACAAAGGACAAGATCAATCTCCAGGGAATTCTGAGGACTTATTTTTAATTATATTTGCTTACGAAGCTAAATAACCTTCTAGAGCACTTTTCCAGGCCTCTAACTACATCTTTCTGCTACAAATCTGCATAACTTTAAGTTTTTATGATTGTCTCAAATATGGGGAAAAATTAAGGGTGGAATTAGGAAAGTTTCAAATAGGTCTCAAACGGGTGAGCAAGGAAATCAATATGCAAAATGAGTTATCTGACCTTAAAGTGATCGTACTTAGTTACTATATTTTCTATTAGTTATCATGTGAGAGCACATTACCTAAGCCAGAGATGGAAGGAAGAAATGTGGATTTTCACATTTACTGTGTCTGATTTGAAACTGAAGCATGCCTCAGAGGACGGAATGTTTTTAATTGTTCCTACATGGTATTTCAGAAATCAACATTTTCTCCAAGTCCAATTTATTTGGGCAAAAACAGGATTCTATTTCTATCTTTTCGCTAACTTTTTAAAGTGTTAAAGGAACTCTTTTAAATATCTTCTCAAAAGCACAGCTAGGAAAGGACTTGGCTGTTTGATCACCCTCTCAAGCAAAGTAGGCACCACACACAGCAGGCTCTATTAGCCACGGTGAAGGAACTTACTAGCTGGATGATTTTTTCTGAACTATCTGCAGTGAGATGAAAGATCATGTTAGCATTCACATGAAGATAATGAGATCCCAGAGTTGATATTCTCTGATAATCATTAGGGGAAGTGAATGATGCTTTAGGAGCCGGAGCTAATGTTTCGTGCTGCTTGTAATTTCCTAACAGCAGAAAATTTATTAAACAACCTATTTTTTCCACACCCAGAAGACTGAAAACTGTCTTAACAGAGGAGCGAACATAACCACATCAGAGAAAAGACCATTAGATTTCAGATTATGCTCTGCCTTGTATATTCACAAAACACCATAGGAGGAAGATGCAGGCATCAATAGATTTAGTTGATAAAACCCCACTCTGCCCTTGGGTACCCTCTGAAGCCCAGGAACCAGCACATTCTATTCTAGCTCTAGACAGCACTATCTAACCCAGACACAAAACCTATCTTCCTAGGCTGCCATGGCCACAGAATTGCTTCTCAACTAATTCCATTGGAACAAGAAAGGACAGGTTGGAAAACAACAGGAGCCCAGGTGATAAGAGTCAACAGAAATGACAATCATGGCTAGATTCCTGGGGAGAGCCATCTGCAACATGTCATTTAAACGTGCTGGCCAGACCCAGAGGCAGATTTCACAGAGCAGAAGTCTCCAAGTGACTCCAGTGAAGTGGCACCAGGTAGTGGGAGAAGAGAGGTCATTTTGCATGAAGGCAGCAATTAAAAAGGGTTTATAGCCTACCTGATGAGAGATTCTAGAATGGCAGGGGTGGGGCCTTTCTGGAACTCCAGTTCTTTGTAGTGTAGTGCTTTGGCATATGCTCGGCACTTGGCAGCTCTTTCACCCAGCAGAACAATGCCATTGTCATCTCTCAGTGGCAGGGGGCCCTGGAGGAGAGCAAAACCTCACAGCATAGGAAAATGGCAGATGGGGCACAAACAAGAGAAGGCTGTGTGGATGCTTCTCTCCTCCCACCAGCTGGTTCCCTGTCAGCCTCCATCTGGACAATGGGGAAAAGTCTCACCTTGTCACTGTGTTCCATGAATTCAGCCAAGTTTAAGAGGGTTTGTGTGACTTCAGCGATGTCTTGTGAGGTGAGGGCCAACTCGATGCTTCTGATGAGCTCATCCTGTTGATCTTCATTCAATTCAGACCAGCAGGACACAAACGCAGCATTGAAGAGATCCCTGAAGGCACAGAAGGTGGAAAATAGAGAGACCTCCCATGCCTCTGCCTGCTGCCTCAAAGTCACACCTATCAGTTCACTTTTGGCATCACTGATTTTGGTTATACAGACCAGTGCTGTCCAAGAGAACTTTCATGTCCAATATGGTAGCCACTGATGATTAAAGCACTTGAACTATGGCAAGTGTGGCCAAGGAACTGAATTTTACATTTTATTTATTTTTAATTAAATTAACCACATATGGCTAGTGTCTACTGAATCTTACACTGCAGGTACAGACACTATGATATGCAAGGACTTGGGGGGCAAGTGGCAGGGCGGGGTGAAGAGCAGAGCAAAGTAACTTTTCTCCAAAGGAATATTTCTTGGCAGTTTTTGCATCATTTCTCTTCACTAGAGGAAATGGGAAATGAATAGAATGGGGACTTCTGACAAAGAAGTTGGCATTAACAAATGTGGAAAACAATAATCGTTAAATGATTCTTGGGATGTTTCTGGGACAATGTCTAAATTCTTAAGGTCAGAAATGTCAAAGGCAGCATCTGCAATTGCTTTCAAAATATAATCAGTACCCTTAGTTGGATGGTCATAAAAAATGACAACAGGACTAGAAGCATTAGCAAATAGGATCCAAACCTGTAAGTTCTAAAAGATTTTCTAAGCCAACAGTTGGGGCCTCACAAAGACGTGGAACCAGAGGTTCCATTTCAAAGATTACTATGACTACTTACATTACCATAGTACCACATGATGGACACATTTGCCACCCCTTACATCTTACATCAATCCTATCCTCCCCACTGTTCTGGTGACTGTGTGGGGAAGGGAGTGGGAAACAACACGATATACCTACAATGGATAGATTTAGCAATGGATAGATTTAGCATTTAAACAACACGATATACCTACAATGGATAGATTTGATGCCTCTATACCTACTTTCTTTTTTTTTTTTTGAGACGGAGTCTTGCTGTGTCGCCCAGGCTGGAGTGCGGTGGCGCGATCTCAGCTCATTGCAAGCTCCGCCTCCTGGGTTCCATTCTCCTGCCTCAGTCTCCCCAGCAGCTGGGACTACAGGCGCCTGCCACCACGCCTGGCTAATATTTTTGTATTTTTAGTACAGACAGGGTTTCACCGTGTTAGTCAGGATGGTCTCAATCTCCTGACCTTGTGATCCACCCACCTGGGCCTCCCAAAGTGTTGGGATTACAGGCGTGAGCCACTGCGCCCAGCCTATACCTATTTTCTG